CCCCCCCCTCCAGAATTCTTATGAGGATGAAATGAATTATTACATGGAAAATGCTATACACATTAAATGTTTTTTAAAAAGTTAGCTAATTCTATTATTCAGTGTTTTACTGCCCCCTGGGAAAATATGTTTAAAAGTTAAACTAATTACTCTGGAAGCCAAGGGACTGGTAGAGACTAGTAAAGACTGAGATTCATTCTAGATTACTGGGTTACAAGATTTAATTTTAGTGTTTCAGCTGCTACATTTATAGAGGCAGCAGACAATTAAAAGCATCCCACTGACCAATAAGGATTTTTTAATTTGCTTTCCTTTACAAATGAAGACCATGCCTGGACTTAAGACTCCATATATTAGAGGGTGATATGGATAGGAAAGACAGTGGAAAGAATCTGACCTAACTTTCCTAGGTACATATATGAATATATCACAGTGAATCCCACCATAATTTTAACAAAATGAACTTTACTGCCATGTATAACTAAAAAGAATCAATTAAAAAAAAAACTCTATATATCCTATGTGTGAAGAACTGGCTTAGGAAAAGGTGGTACAATATTGATTAAAAAAATTACTGTCACAATAATGTGAATGTACTTAATGACACTGTGGAAATGTACATTAAAAGATGATTAAGATGATAAATTTTGTGTTATATGTATTTCATGAGAATTTAAAAAAAATAGTGGTAGAGATAACTGAAGGAGACAGAAAACTCAAGCTCAACATTTTTTTTTTTTGTACTGAAGACTGAACCCAGGGGCACTTAACCACTGAGCCATATCCCTAGCCTTTTTTAAAAAAATTTTTTTTATTTAGAGACAGGGTCTCACTGAGTTGTTTGAGGCCTCGTTAAGTTGCTGAGGCTGGCTCAGCCTCCTGAGCTGCTGGGATTACAGACCTGCGACACTGCACCTGGCTTCAATAGTCTTTTAATAACAAGAAATATAGTGAATAGTTGCCAAATGTCCAAGGTGGAAAAGTTCATGTCAGACTTCTACTCCACTGTATGTATATGTTTTTTCCTAAGTGGAATGAGATAGTTTTAACACTGCATTTATATTTAAATCATTTTAATCATTAATAGGAATAAATATTATTTCTTACAATGGGGTATACATTTGAAGGTTTAATTATCCAGAATGTTATTTTTCACACAAGAATGATGAAGATCAGTATTTACTGTCTTCATATAAGCTCATGCTTCTACTACAAAGAAAAATTTAGTTTCAGAACACGTTTAAAGGGATTTATTTTTTGCAAAAGGACTACCAAAAATACCAGAGGCACCAGGTCTGATATGCACATCTGTAATCCCAGCTAATTGGGAGGCTAAGGTGGGAGGACCACTGGATCCCATGAGTTCAAGACCAGTTGAGCCAACAGTAAGACCCATCTCAAAAAAAAAAAAAAAAAAAAGAAATTCTAGCTGTTTCTTACCAGATGTATGAACCAGCTATTCAACTCTTTCTGCCTCATTCTGTCTTGCATACAATGCGGGGGTTGGGGGTTGGGAGGGTGAGGAAAAAAGGTATCTACCTCCAGGATTCTTTTTTAAAATTTTTAATTTTTAAAAATTTTTTATTTTTAGGTGGACACACAATATCTTTATTTTACATTTATTTGGTGCTGAGGATCAAACTCAGTGCCTCATGCATGCTAGGCAAGCACTCTACCACTGAGCCACAAACCCAGGCCGTGCCCCCCCC